AAAAGTACCAATTTTCCAAGTGTATGTTTGCAATTAAATATGAAAGCCTGTTCTACAATTTCTTGAAAATTTTTTTTTTTTTAAGCCTACGTATCTTCCCTTCTCCAGAACAAAGCGATTTTTCCATACCATTTATTAGAAGAATGCTCTTTAACAAACACAATTTTAGACTTGGAGAACCAAGCACTCGCTATAGAAGAGCATCATGATTGGGAAAGTCTAGAGTCATGGGAACTACTAAGTCTAGAGTCATGGGAACTACTAGAGTCATGGGAAGACCCCCAAGGAGATGGAGTGACACAGTGGCAACACCAATTGTGAGAATGGCGTAGGACCAGGTAGTGGTTTCTTCTGTTGTGCATAGTCATTGTGAGGCGGAACCGGCTTGGATAACACCTAACAGCAACCCTAACCAATGGCTCCATGATCCTAGCCAGCAGCTATGTAACACACCCTGCAGTTCTTGAAATTGTACAGGTCACCTTTGCTGAGGACTCTGTGAGTCCACAGTCCCATTGGTGATGCTTGGACACCTAACTCACACGTGGGTGCGGCCTGAGTTTGCCCCTGCTCCCTCTCTGGTCTTCTCCTCTGCGCCTCTCCAATGGATGTTGTGTTTCCTCTCAAGTATGGAGCCTGTGCATGGATTCTCAAATGCAGCACACCCCTGTCCTTCTGCATGAACTATCTCCTCTCTTTAGGGATGCCTGCATTTATCTTGTCCCTTCCTGGTTTATCAAGTGGACTCCAGTTCATCTTCCAAACCCAGTGTAATGGTCACCTTCTTGACTGCTAACCAGAGGGGATGGCAGTGGGCCCCACCCAGAAGTGCCTCAGAAGACAAGCCGGGTAATGTGCTTCTGAAAGGGCACAGCCTTGGAGACCCAGTTGCATTCTGCACATAGGGTCACCAAGAGTCAGGATTGGCTTGGGTTTGTTTGTCCCTCAAACCATCCAAGAGAATTGGCCAGGGTCTGAAACCTGCCTTCAAAATGCATCTGCATGCCTCTGTTTTTCACCTATTGAAAGGTTAATGGTTCAAGTCCACACACCTGTGTGAATGTAGCAACATTCATAGCAGATGGCAGCATTTTTTATTCTGACTTTATCATTCTTAACTGTGGCTTCTGAGTGATCCAGTGGCAACCAGCAACAGCCTGAAGAACACTGGGAATGGACAGTGATATCCTGAGGGTGCTCAGCCAAGACCTCGGTGCCTGACTGAAAATCTGAAAATTGGAACTGAGCATCTCATTTTGTCCATCACGGCTTAGCATCTCAGCTTCTGATGTCTAAAATTCCAGGGCAGACTAAATTAGTAAAACATATGCAAAAATGTTCCTGTGTTCAGAGTTCCTTATGGATTGGAGATGTTGACTTTTGCATTAAAAAGACTCCAATTTGAGCTTTCAACCACTTAGGAAAAAGTTCCGTTGGACAGAGCATAAACCCCCCCAATAACCAAGGCTGAAATGAAGTAGACTGGAAACACCCAGGCAGGGGCAGCTCAGGACTTCAGTGGTGGCCTGGAGGTATCTTCAGTTCTCAGCTCAGCTAGCCTCAATACGCAGCTCCCGTGCTCAAAGTCAGCATCTAAAGTGGCTGCAGGAGCTCCTGCCTTTGCGTTTCTGTTCCAGGCTGTCAGGAGGAGATGAGAGACAGAACAAAAAGGCATTCCTCCCCTTTTAAGGGACCTTTCTGGAATTCTCACTGTCCAGACCTGTAGACACGGTGCCAGCTCTAGTCACAATGGCTTTGGAAATGCAGGCCTGGCTGAGACTATATAGAACCCTGAACACATCCAGGGTTCTGTTATTAAAGATAAAGGAGAGAATCAGGTAGAACTTGAGGCTGGGTCCCCAAAAACAGTACCCAGGATGAGAATGCATGGGAAAAGGGTTTATTGGGGAGCAGGTTCAAGAAGACCTGGTGGGAATATGGAGGGTACCAACAAGGACGTGGTGTTAAGAGAAGTCCCACAAGGAGCTCTGAGCCAGTGTGGGACCCCCCCTTATAAATGTCTGGCCACTGAGCAAGTCCCACAAGGAGCTCTGAGCCAGTGTAGGACCCCCCCCCCTTATAAATGTCCGGCCACTGAGCAAGTCCCACAAGGAGCTCTGAGCCAGTGTGGGACCCCCCCTTATAAATGTCTGGCCACTGAACAAGGCCCACAAGGAGCTCTGAGCCAGTGTGGGACCCCCCCTTATAAATGTCTGGCCACTGAACAAGGCCCACAAGGAGCTCTGAGCCAGTGTAGGACCCCCCCCTTATAAATGTCTGGCCACTGAGCAAGGACTTGAAGCAGTTTCACTATAACATTTGTGTCTGTCACTGCTTGGGCTTATGGGGCACTTATAGGGTTGTGATGAGTCAGCATTGACTCGGTGGCATGGATTTGATTTTGGAGAGTCCTGGTGTTGGCACTGTAGGTTAATGTGCTAGACTGCAAAGTCGGTCTGAACCGCAAGGTCGGTGGTGCAAGCTTACCAGCTGCTCCTCGGAAACCTTATAAAGGGTGGCTATGGATCAGAACTGACTCGACGGCACTTAACAAAAACTACATTTTATCCCACTAGATCTATTTTTTCAGGTTTACTGATCAAATAAGTTAACAAAGGATTAAGTTTAAGTGTAAGGCAATGAAAAATGTAAATTTGTGCACGACAAAATTGAGTCATTATTCTGACAAACTGTATGTTTCAACAGTAATTATGTTTTGTAGTGTGTCAGCTGGAAGATAATTTCCAAGGTCTTTAAGTAATTTAAACCCTCTGATAGACATTAAATTGCATTAATTAATGGATAATAACTGGCCATCTAGATCCATTTCTAAGTAAGGTGACTCTGGTAGTGTAGAAGTTACGAGTTGGGCTGCTAACGTCAAGGTCAGTAGTTTGAAACTACCAGCCATTCCATGGGAGAATGATGAGGAGGCTTTCTGCTCCCATAAAGATTTACAGCCTCGGAAACCATATGCAGGGTTGCTATGAATCAGAACTGACTCCACGGCACACACCACCAAACTTTTGCTTCTTGGATAAACACTGGACTGCAAACCACAGGATCGGCAGTTCGAGCCTACCAGTCACCCCGTGGGAGAAAGATGAGACTTTCTGCTCCTGCAAAAGATTTACAGCATTGGAAACCTCATACAGGGTCACTTTGAGTCGGAACCGACTCTGTGGAACTTAGTAACAACCATAATAATGGATTCTGGAGTCCCTGGGGTGGGGGTGGGGGGTAAATGGTTAATGTGCTTGGCTACTACCTGTAGGTTGAGTTGCCTCATAGGTGTCCAGCATAAAAGGCCTGGAGACTTACTTCTGAAAATTCAGCCAGTGAGAACACTGCTGAGTACAGCTCTACTCTGTCACATTTGGGGTTACCATGAGGTGAAACTGACTAGAAAGAACACTATTGGTTTCCATAGCTAATGCTGTTAAGAAAAGATTCTTTTATGATGATAGTCTTTGGGGACAGTATGGTCAATCAGCAGAGACAATGTCCTACATCCTACTTTGTTGACTGGGATCTTAAAAGTTCATGAGCACCCATCTAAGATGCAACTTCTGGCCTCTCCTTGTCTGGAAGAAAGAAGAGTGATGAAATTGAAGACGGAAACAGGCTGCAAACCACAAGGTCAGCAGTTCGAATCTACCAGCTGTTCCGTGGGAGAAAGATGAGGCTTTCTGCTCTTGTAAAGATTTACAGCCTCGGAAACCCTGTACCGGGTCGCTATGAGTCAGAACCGACTCCATGGCATACAGGCAGCCAGCAGAAACAATTAATAAAATGGATTAATGGACCAGTGACCATCAGTCTCCGTGATCCTGAGACCAGAAGAACTAGATGGTGCCCTGCTACCTCTACCAACAGCTCTGAAATGGATCCCAGTAGAGAAGGTCATGGGAAGAGTTGAAGAAGATATGCAACAAAAATCAAAATCATATCGTAGACCAGACTTACTGGTCAGATAGAATCTGGTGGAACTCCATGACTATGGTCCTTGGTCACCCTTCACATCTGGACCTGAGCTCACCCCCCGTGGCTCGATTTTCAGCCAAACAACAGATAGGTATATAGAGGGGACAACCACACTAGTGAGGTACGCACACCATGGCCTGCTCACTCATTTGAGATCAGAAGGGCAGCATTTACCTAAGGACAAAATTCACAAGGGTGGGGAAAGTGGGAAGAATGGAAACAGGAAACACCGGGAGCGAGTAGGAGAACTGATGTTACACGGAGGGGGCTGCAGTCACTGAGATAAAATGAAGTGTGTGATTTGGTGAATGGAAACACCGATGGTCTGCTCTGTAAACCTTCAGTCAAATCACAATAAAATACTTACAAACATTTTTTAAAACAGAGAACTGCGTGGTCTAATGTGTGGCCTCCAGCTTCATGCTGAAACCCAAACTTTCATTAAAATGACATGATAGTAGAAATTCTGTTCCTAAGCTGCACTCCGCACATTTCACGTGCTCAGTGGGTGCATGTGACTAGTGGCTACTGAACTGGAGAGCATAGAAAGTTCCCATTGCCTTAGAAAGTTCTACTGGCCTGCACTGGTGGACAGCAGGGTTCCAAATACTATATTGTGGCCTGCAGGCCAAATCCAGCCACCACCTGCTTCTACAAATAAAGTCTCATTGGAGCAGAGACATGTTCCTTCACTGGCATATTGTCTATGTTGGCTTTTGGAGTCCTTAGTCACCGTGCAGCTGTTAACCAAAAAGTTGGAGGTTTAAGTCCAGCTGAAGATGTCTCTGGCGATCAACTTAAAAACAAAACACCTTCCACTGAAAATCCCATGGAGTATACATGAGGTTGCTGTGAGTCCGAGTCCACAGATTTGGTTTGGGTTATGTCTGTGTTTGCAGTGACAGAGCTGAGTAATTGCAGTGTCTCAGCCAAACACTAGATGTTTACTTTCTGACTTTTCCAAGGAGATGTTACCAAAGCCCTACTGAGCCTGTCAGAGTTCCAGGAAGGAGGATCTATTCTCTAAAGCCCGTCTCTGGCCCCTCCAGGAGCCACTTGTGGGTCACAACATCAAGCCGGCATTCGTCGTAGCACATGCCTCCCCTGGAAGGAAGCAGAGAACACAGGCTTCGGACCCAGGGCACCTTCTCTATCGCCGGCCAGTGGACTCAGAGGGAGGTGTGGGCTGTAAGTCTACCCACACGAATCACACACTACACGAATCACACATCACGAGGCTCTTCCATTTGCTTTATTATTATTTTATTTTCATTCTTCCTGGGCTGGTCAGACAGCAACATCAATACAAAGTGAGACATAACTGATTTCTTAATAGGAATTCAATAACCCTGCCCAAACTGATGGTCCACAGGTATTTCTAATAACCTTTCATCAAATGTAGCCGAACTTGGAAGGTCTGACAATCCGCACATCAAAAATACCTCTAGGCTGGCGTGAGAAGGATAAAACCTTGAACAGTTAGGGGCGGGTCGGCCAACCTCTTTTGGGTGTTTTCTAAGCACTCCAGCAGGCCAGAGAGGGGAGCAGGCTGCGTGATGTGGTCACTTGGGAAGACTGGCACCTCTGGCTCTTGAGACCCAGGGAGCTCTGGGTGACTGGCCCAGTGTGAAGGGGAGGGTCCCCTGTGAACGGAGCATGCAGTCACCAGGCTCCACGCCTGCCTGAAGTTCAGCAACCCACCTGAAAAATCCCAACTTCTTCATGCCCCCCCCCACCCCCCCATCCCTCATGCACACCACCATTCGTTAAAAGGGAAACAGAACTGACTCGGGACACACACTTGCTGACGTCCCTGTTACCAACAGACCAGACAGCAGAGCATGCGAACAGGGTGGCATGGCCAAGGGCCAGAGAGAGGGACTTTTTTCAATTGCCCATGAACATCGTTAGTGGTGGCATTTGGGACAGCAGGACCCTAGGACACTGGGATTTTTGCTGAGCACACAGAGGGGACACCCCAATTTCTCTCCCTGCATAGGCAGGAGGCCCCAGTGAGCAAAATCTGGCTCTCTCCTAGTCCGAGGGGCTGCTGAATTCTGTCACTTCCACAAGCTTTGCTGCCGCTCTACCCAAATTATATGGATCCAGGAACAAAGAACAGAAAACACCCTCAGTTTTCAGCCCTACCCTGGAGAATAGTCTTGCCAGGCACACCTCCTCCCAGGCACTTCCTGGATTACAGAGCAAACAAGAGTGAGCTATGGAGATAGCATGGAGCTAAGACCTGACCAGGTTGGGTTTGTATTTGCACAGCCAGACTGCGTCCCAAGTGTAGGCCAGCTCACCAGCGCTGTCTCCTCTTGCGTCCCCGGAGTTTCAGCCGTCTGGCTGGCAGGCTGACTGGCTGCTTGCCAAACTTCTCCATGATCTCGCGGATCCTGGCCAGGTTGGTTTTGCTGAGTGTGAAGTCGCAGCGAGTGGCTCCCATGTCGTAGCCCACCATGCAGTTCTTGGTGGACGCAGTGAAGCCTTCGGCCCTGGCTGTGACCACGTACTCGCCTGGGTTCAGGAGGCGCCAGTAATCCCCGTCGCTGGCTGTGAAAAGAAAACGGGCCGAGAGAGTAAGTTCAAAGCATTGTCTTCTAACACAGACACCAAGCAGCAGCCCCATTCCAAGACAAGCCTGCCAGCCAGCGAGACTTGGAGAGACACAGTGTGCAATTGAAGCACCTGCAGTCGCAAATACTTAAGACCTGTGGGGAGCTGAGAGAGTGTCTTCTTTGGGAGCTACTGTGATGGTTTGAACAGGAAGAAGAACTGGGGTGCAGGCTCCCCACATTGTTAATGCACAGGAACAGAGATGAGGAAACGGTCAGGGTCAGTAACAATCCTCCCCCTTGGTGACAGCATAAGTTATTCATTCTGAAACCTGAACCCCAAACATTATGCCTTGACCACAAACACCATCCTGGAAAGCCATTGCTGCTTGGCTTCGTGGCTCCCTTTTACAAACTGGAAATGCAGGATCATCCTTTCTAACAGGGTGGGTCTCTGATTCTGAGAGAAGGAGCTGGATGAGAGCCCAAAGCCTGTGGGAGGGGGCCTGGTGTTCCCACACCTCATTCCACAGAGAGATGCACTGCAGGAAGATACACACCTGGCTTCTGAAAGGCAAAGAGGGGCCTATAATTCACCTGACAAACACTTACCTAGAGCTGCGGCTGAGTCCCTGCCTCCCGCAACTGCTGACATGGTTAATAGCAAGCAATAACATGGCGACCCACAGTACAAGGCACTACCTCCTTGTCCTGCTCTGTCCTGGGTTCTCACTGGCTGGTTGTTTGGAAGTACTTCGGTAGGTCTTTCTTCTCAGTCCATCTTTGTTTGGAAACTCCACTGAAAGCTGTTCAACATCATGGGCTGCGTTGAACAGGTACTGAAGCCAGGTGGCCCACATGGAAGGCAACGATTCTACCATGGAGACACCACTGCCTCCATTTTTTCCTGTCTCTGCCTCTGTATTCAGCTGAAAGTTCCTTAGGATCCCGTGCCCTAATCTTCAGCATGGAACAAACAGTGTGTCTCACATAATAGGTCCTCAGTTAACACTGGTTAAGTTGAATGGGATCCGAGAAATTAGTTGATATGTAACCAAATAGGATGAGAAGTGGAACATACTAAGTTCAACTAATATGGGTGCTTTCTCCCCGAAACATTACAGAGAGTTAAGACCAAACAGTCCTCCACTTGCCAAAGGCTGCTCTGATGACTGGTCTCTAGGGTAGACACTCTCAGGGGGAGCTCCGGCCTCAGGGCACACTGAGATCAGGGAAGGGCAGGCCAGGTCCTTCCCAAGGGAGTACTCAGTGAGCAGAGAAGGAATGAAAGAAATCCTCAACCAATGGCCACTCAGAGTACATCAGATCCAAAATGGGTCATCAGAAGCCACTGTGATTTTCCCTTCTCCCCACTCCCCACCCAGATATAGAAAGCCCTCGGCTATGGATGAATTGTGTCCCATCAGACTAATCATTGGAATCCTAACCCCTTACCCCTGTGGATGTAACCCATTTGGGAACAGGGTTTTCTTTGTTGTTGGTGAGGCCATTTCAGTGTAGGGTGTGTCTTAAACCTAGGAAATTTTGAAATCTCAAAAGAGCAGAATAGACACACAGTTGTCCTTGGTAGATGCCTTCTAGCTGGTTCTGACTCTTAGTGATCTTGTGTACAACAGAACAAAACACCGCCTGTCCCTGTGCCGTGTATGTTAGAGTCTGTTGCTACAGCCACTGTGCCAATCCATTTTGTTGAAGGTCTTCCTCTGTTCACTACCAAGGTCTCTACCAAGCATGATGTCCTTCTTTAGGGGCTGGTCCCTTCTGATAACATGTTCAAAGCGTGTATAAAAAGTCTTTCCATCCTGGCTTCTAAGAAGCATTCTGGCTGTACTTTTTCTAAGACAGATTTCATACATTCTTCTGGAAGTCCATGGTATATTCAATATTCTTCTTCAACACCATAATTCAAAGGCATCAATTCTACTTCTCTTCCTTACTCATTATCCCGCTTTCACATGTATTTTGTCGTTGTTAAGTGCCATCGAGCTGGTTCCAACTCACAGCAACACTTGTATAGGGTTTCCAAGGAGCGACTGATGTGTTTGAACTGCTGACTTCACAGTCAGCAGTACAGTGCTTACCCTATAGTGCCACACCAGGACTTGTTGTTAAGTGCCACCACGTCGGTTCCAACTCATAGTGACCCTGGTTTCCAAGGATTAGCTGGTGAGTTTGAACCACCAACCTCATGGTCCAGTGCTTATCCTACAGCGCCACACCAGGACTGTTGTTGTTGTTGTTGTTAAGTGCCATCAGGACTAGGAGACCATTAAAAATACCATGGCTTGGGTCAGGAGCACCTTAGTTCTCAAAATGGAATCTTCGCTTTGTAACTCTTTGAACAGCAGATTTACCCAATGCAATACGTCATTTGATTGCTTAACTGCTGCTTCTATGTTTGTTGATTGTGGATCCAAGTAAAATGAAATCCTTGACAACTTCAATCTTTTCTGTATTTATCATGATGTTGCTTACTGGTCCAGTTGTATGGATTTTTGTTTTCTTTATGTTCAGGTGTAATCCACACTGCTTTCTGGGTCACCCGGAAATAGCTGACTAATAATTGAAAGCTTAACAGTTTGCATCAGCCAGGGACTCTCTCTGCAAACTAGAAGTTTCCATTTCGGGATGCTGAGTCTCTTAGGTGCTGGCAAGATGCTCTGCTCTACAGTTGTCCCAATTTATCCTGACAGTCTTCTCTCTCTCCCACCCCTGACCTTCCATCTACATTATGAAACATTGGGGTGCTGTGTGAGTCACTGTCCAGCTAAGCAATGGACTGGCCTTTGAAGGTAAGTGTTTCAGTGGAGTGCGGCAGGAGGCAGACGTATAGTGAGCATCCCGGGACACTGGTGGACAAAAGGGGCAGCCGAGTTCTGTTGTCAGATTAGAACAGTAGTGGGAACTCGGAGCCTGGTGCTAAGCCAACTCACTTACACGTGTTCACAAAGCCTTCTCACTAGCTCCCCTCCCTGTGGAATTCTACTTCATATTTCCATTTATTTTATGCAAAATCCCTTCTGACATAAAACTTGTCATATCACATGAGCTTCAGGCAGAAATCGAGACAAATGGGAGCTTATGTTGAGCTCCGGAAGATACTGGAACACATAAAATAAAGAACCAAGCATAAAGTATGGAATCCATTTGTCATCAGAATACACTGGGAAATTATTTATAACGACAAAATCAAGAAAGAGAGAAATGCATTTGCCATTAGCTCATCAAAAATGTCTTCTTGATTCCAGGGGCTGGAGATGCAAGGCCCATTAGGCAAAGTTTTCTCATCTCCACTTAAGGGCCCCTGGGGCCTTTTTATCTTCCACTCAGTTTAGAAACCCATGGCTTCGCATATTGCAAATAAAGCACAAAATAGTCCGAGGAATGTTCCAGGCTCTTTCATGAATCTCTTTATTTTCAAGTAGCTCAGAAGCAATATTGATGATACCAGTTCTATGAAGAACTGTCCATCCATAAAGGTCATCAGCACCCAGTAAGTAGTCTCTGGTCCACTACAGTTGTGCAATCCACATTGATTGAATAAGTGAATGAGTAAATGAATGAGTGAGTGAATGGGTGGGTGGGTGGATGGATGGATGGAGAAATGGATGAGTGAGTGAATAGATGGATGAATGGATGGAGGAATTGATGGGTGGGTGTATGGATGGATGAATGGGTGGCTAGGTAGATGGATGGATGGATTGAAGAATGGATGGGTGGGTGTATGGATGGATGAATGGATGGGTAGGTGGATGAATGGATGGGCGGGTGGATGAATGGGTGGGTGGATGGATGGATGGA